CATTACAATTAAATGTGCTATATAAATAAATAATAATAGTTACTCCGCCCACTCCAGTTGTAGACTACTGGTGGAGGCAAGAACACTTCACACAATTTCCCCAGAAATTGTAACTTTCTAGTTTATCTCTGTAATTCTCGTTCTGCTTATTTTTCTCTCTTTCCCCTCCTTTAACTGTTTCTTCTTTTTTTGTGTGTGTGTGCATTGTGACACTCTTGTGTACTATATATATACTATGGTCATGTCTGGTTCCAGCAGCATCACTATTAGTTAATGGGTGTTGTAGATTTTGCTGCCAAGAAGCTTGTTCATACTCTGGTAATCTCTAGCATGTAATTCTCTCCTAGTTGGTCTCTCTAGAATCAGAACTGCCCCACTACAATCTGTAATAAATGAAGCCGCCAAGCTGATTTTTCTCACCCGTCGCTCCTCCTATACCTTACCCTCTGTCGATCCATAGACTGACTTCCTGTATCCTGTAGGTGTCAATTCAAAATACTAGCCCTAACCTATAAAGCTTTAAACAACTCTAGCCCCTGTTACATTTCTTCACTGATTCATAGATATACCCCTTCTCGGTCTATCCGCTCTGCCAGTAACCTTCTCCTGTCCGCTGCTCGCACCCTTACTGCTAACTTGCACTTGCAGAACTTATCACCGGCAGCTCCCTTCATTTGGAACAGCCTGCCTGCCCCTTCAGACTCTCCCCTAGTCTGCAATTGATTAAGAAGTCCCTCAAAACACATCTGTTTAGAAATGTTTATGGACTCCCAGAGTAACTTATCTATACTTATCCATATCTGTCTCTTGCTCTCCTGAAGAGTCACACTCCGTTCTCACCTCCAGTTCTGCTACTTTTCCACCTTGTTTGGTGGCTGCCCCCCATGCTGCCCTATTGTGTTTTTGTACCCCACCTCCTCTAGACTGTAAGCTCATTTGGGCAGGGTCCTCATCTATCAATTGTTTCTGTGTCATTGTGTAATTGTCTAATTTATTGTACAATTTCCCCCTTTCACAATATTGTAAAGCGCTGCGGAATTAGTTGACGCTATATAAATACCAATAATAATATCAAATATTTTTTCTGCAATACTAGCCTTGATAATGTTTTGGGTGAGCATATCAACCCTCTGCACAAGGTGCCACATAATAAGTGTCCTGAAAATGCTTAAAGGGACACTAGAACAATGACAGCTTAATGTAGTTATTCTGGTAAATATAGCATATCCCTGCAGGTTTTTTTTTTTGCAGTTAACACTGTCATTTCAGAGAAAGCGTAGTGTTTACATTACAGCATTAGAACATCCACTTATGGTGCTTCCTGGGGAAATGCTACACAGTGTGCAGCACTGCCATACAGTGTCTCCACCCTCTGCACAGAGACACTGAACTTTCCTTATAGATATGCATTAATTCAATGCATCTTTATGAGGAGATGCTGAATGGTCACAGCAGTGTTTGGCTTCGCCTCATCCCACCTCCATGGCTGAGAACATCAGAATTGAACATCTCAGCCAAGCCAATGCTTTTCTATCAGAAAGAACTGTAATTGGCTGAGATCATCACTTCTAATCATGTCAACAAAGAAGGCAGAACAGGGGCAGAGCCAGCACCAGCAGACTGGAATGAAGGTAAGATTTTACTATATTTAGGGGAATAAGGGGGGCAGGGATGTGGACATTAGACGTGTGCATCATGCGATTGTTCGGTACAGCAGAACAATTTTTCCCGAAATTGAAAATCTCTTCAGATTGTCTGACACTCATCCATGTGATGGAATGTTGTCTAGGGGAAACATTTGGGCATGGCAAAAAAATCAGGAGAAAACGTGGCCTATTAGTATGCAGAAATGCAAAATTGGCTACAGTATTGTCTAGATCGAAGCAGGATCAACCTTTTTTGTTATACCAATTCTGAGTTGTCAAAATTAGATTATTAATATATACTAGTGGCCAAAATTGGGAAAACTGTATATTTCTGTGGTTTGATGGCTCATAGCATCAGTATTTTTTTAAATACCATAAAAATTAAATCATATCATTAGAAAATGAAAGATAATTTAATGCTACTGAATGTAGCAATATATGCTTTATTAACAAAAGCATTTTAATAGAAGTTATACACAGAAAACAATGATAAAATAAAAAAAAAACATGGCGAAACATATTTTATAAACAATTGTTTTAGTTCATTTGGTGTTATAATGTGAAACCAGGTTTGTATATTTGCTTCCATCAATTGTCTTTTTATTCCACAGTTTTTCTGTTGGATTCAGGTCAGGGTTATTCTAGCAATATAATATGATATTCCTGAAACCATTTTCTAACAAGGCAGCAGCATGACAAAGGGCTGAATCCTGTAGAAAAATATAAGCTTCATTATCCTGTATAAGATCATGTGATAAAGTCTTCAGTTTTGGCTCAGGAATATCACTGATGTATTTTTTACCATTTACAGTACCATCAATCACACAAAATCAGTATGTAAAGTAACTGATATTGACAAGAGAATATTTTAGTTTACAATTCATTAACCCCATACACTACCAAGCATTTAGCAAAAAAATCTATTCCAAAATAACGGAATATATAGAGTGTAATGCAAAGTAATGTATAAATGTATTTCTAATTTCAGTATGCATAGCACACTGTTTAATGGAAACAAAGACAATGTTTACATGGTGTGTTCAATAAAAACATGGCAACATTTCATTCTTTGTGTGTTATTAGTTTAAGCAGACTGTGATTGTCTATTGTTGTGACTTAGATGATGATCAGATCACATTTTATGACCAATTTGTGCAGAAATCTATATCATTCCAAAGTGTTCACGTACTTTTTCTTGTAACTTTATGTTCTATCGTACCTACTTCAGTGTTACATCTCCAACAGGTTGGGGGGGGGGGGTGTCCTTGAATATCCTGTGTGGGAGTTCTGGAGTGCGGTACCATGTGGATAACACTTTGTAGTTTGTTTCCTGGTAACCCAAATTGCTTGTGCTCTTATGGTTGAGGATCAGCACCTTCTCCCACTACATTTCGGTGAGTGTTTTGCCAAGGATTCCTTCCCATCGTCTCTTAAATGTGGATTTCTCTGTCTTGTTTCCAGTGAGAAGGTGATAGTATAAAAACTGATGTGGCTTTTTCCAAGGTGCTGTCCCCTACGCACGTGCATTTCCTTGTGTGTCTGGGTGTGTCTGAATTTGTCCAGCTGCGTCAGGTTTTCTGCCCCTGTGATTTCCTGTAGGTCCCTTATGCCATTGGTATTTAGTGCCTTATGGAATGAATTGGGGCTCCTCAATGAACTTCCACGCCTGGGGGGTGCAGGACGCCTCCTAGTTCCCTGTTGTGCTGCAGCGGTATTAGGGGGCTTGGAGTTGGGGAGCTGTGCATCCCACCTCTAATCCCATTCCATGTCCATAGTTTGTGATACACCGGGGTTTCGGCTGCTTCGCGATCTAAGGTTTCTAACCGCCCTTGCCAGACTGCTGCATGCATGTGCTTTTCCCGTCCTGCCCAATCCAGAATAAGCCATTGTTGATGTGGTTTTGGCCTGTGCCATTCTAGTATGTGTTGCATGGTGGCTGCCTGGTGATACCTTTTGAAGTCCGGTAATGCCAAACCTCCCCAAAGCTATGGGCATACACAGCAGATCATGTCAGGTACGCAAACGCTCTCCTCTCCAGATGTAACGGATAGCCGCAGACTGCAGTGAGAAGAAAAACGTCCTGATAGCAGCATCGTCTGGAAGAGATAGAACAGTCTTGGTAGGATATTCATCTTCAGGACCACAATGCGTCCGATCCAGGAGATATGTGGGTATGACCATCTATTGAGACCTTCTGTGATGTTCCTCAGGATGGGTGAGAAGTTAGCTCTGTATAGGTCACCCGGGGTTGTCGTCACCCATGTCCCCAGATATTTCATCTTATCCGTACATCAGTAAAAAGGGAAGTTGCGTTTCACGGTTTCGTATTCGTCCGTTGGTATGAAGATGTTGAGGGCATCACATTTTGACAGGTTTAATTTAAGACCCACTATCCTGTCATATTGTTCGAACTCCCTCATTAGGCAAGGTAGGGAGATCAATGAGTTGGTGACGAAGAATATCATGTCGTCCGCTTAGGCTGCCACTTTGTGTTCCGTGCTCTTTTCTCGTAGTCCCGTTATGTCTCTGTTGCCTTGGACTGCGATGAGGAGGGGCTTGAGGGAGATTGCAAATAGCAGGGGCGAGAGGGGACAGCTCTGGTGTTTCCGTTGTAGATCTTGAAACTGTCAGTAAGTGCCCCGTTTACCCGTACCCTCACAGTAGGTGTTGTGTACATAGCTGAGATACACGTCCATAATTTTTCTCCAAATCCCATGGTCTCCAGGGTTGTGAACATAAATGCCCAGTTTACTTGGTCAAACGGCTTTTCGGCATCTATCGACAAAAAGAGAATGCGTTTAGAGCTCTTACGTGCTAAATGTTGTAGTGTGAACACTTGGAGTGTGCTATCACTGGCTTCTCGTTCAGGGATAAAGCCCGATTGATCTGGGTGAATTAGGTCGGGTAGACATTTTTGGATTCTAGTCACCAGTATATTGGTTAATAGTTTAACATCCACGTTCAGGAGCGAGATTGATCTATAGCTTGTAGCAGTTAAGGATTCTAAGTGGAAGGCACCGCCGGCTGCTAACTTGTTTAGTGCTTTCATAATTTAGGTATTAGAAGTTAGGAGAACATTTTGTAATACCCTGTGGAGAAGCCATCTGGTCCAGGTGCTTTCCCTGATTTAACGTTTTTGATCGTGGCGGCTAGTTCTGTTTCTGTGTCAGGGAAGCCCAGTGTTTCAGCTACCTTGGGTGATAGTGCCTTAGGTCTGTTTTAATTTAGATAATCCTTGATGAGATTCAGTCATTCTGTTTCCGTGTCGGGAGGGTGGTTGCTTGAGGTTCAGTAGAGTTTGGAGTAGAAATCCTGGAATTCCCTAGCGATGTCCTGTGGAAAAGGAAATGTTACTCCTGATGATATGTTAAGGCTATGTATCTGTGTGTGTTGCCTTGGTCCCTTGAGCATGCGTGCTAGGTATTTATCCCCTTTGTTTGCGTGTGTGTAAAAGAATCCTTTGGATCTCTGTATGCCTTTGAAATGTTGGCGCAGGAGAATGTCCTTCAGCTGTCTTCTTGTGTTCAATAGCTCCTTGTACACGGCTTCCAATTGCGACCTTTTATGTTGGGTCTCAAGGATATGGATCTGGGCTTTTAGCTCCATCAGGTATCTTGATGCTTCTTTCTTCTTCTTCATTGCTAGGCCTATTATGAAGCCCCTGATGACACTCTTGTGAGCTTCCCATATTGTGAGAAGGGACATGCCTTCGATGACGTTCTCTTTAAAGTATAGAGACAAGGTTTCCTCCACTTCTGCCTTGAAGTAGTCAAGCAGTAAGGAGTCATTGAGTCGTCACATTCATTCTTTTGTTTTAGATAAAGGTGAGTTCATTGTTATCAGCACCGGTCTGTAATCCGATCAGGTTGTTGCTTCTATTGACACCTTTAGAAGGTGTATGAGGTTCTCTTGCTGGAGGAAGAGGTAATTGATACGTGAATGCCGATCATGCGTGGTGGAGGGGTTTCCCCCCCTCTCCTCGCCTTCTCCCCTACTTCTTTTTCTACTTCCTATCCTTTTCCGTCCCCCCATTTGCTCCCCTCTTGTTATTTATTATATATTGTTTTGTGTAGTTATCTCTCCGCCTCCCCTTCTTTGTCATGTCCCCCCACCCCCGCTCTCTTACCCTACCAGATCTTCCCTTCACCCTTCTGGCCCCTGCCCCCTTCCCCGGTCAATTTTCAGTGTTGTCCCCTGTCTACCAGTCCTGTTCCCAGGACTTCTAGTTTCCATGTGCTCTCTCTCTAATCTTTCCTTGGCCTGCTCCTCCGTGGGTTCTGTTTAGACCCCGGTGGTCCCGTGGCCGGGGAATGGGCCGACATCTCTCTTAATTAGTTCCCATGAGCAGGGCCGGACTGGCCCACCGGGATACCGGGAAATTTCCCGGTGGGTCGCGGCACCTGGGGCCGGTCTGACAGCCCTGATCCCGGCCGGCTATGTGTGAGCTGTGCGGCCGCACAGAGCCCCATGGGAGCAGGGGGAGCCAGGCAACCGGCACAGCTCACACACGGCCGGCCGGGATCATAATTTTTTTTTTTTAAAGTGGCGGGGGCGGAGCTTAGTGAGACATGGGCGGGGCTTAGCGTGTGGCGGGGGCAGGGCTTACCTGCGTCAGGGCCCAGCTGACTGCAGCATGGGAAGCAGGAAGGAGTCCCTGCTTCCCCAACAACCAGCCTGCAGGAGCTCCAAGCAGGAGGTAAGAAGCAGGTCAGTGTGTGAGTGTGTGACTGCCTGTGAGTGTGTGACTGTCTCTGTGTGAGTGTGTGACTGTCTCTGTGTGAGTGTGTGACTGTCTCTGTGTGACTGCCTGTGAGTGTGTGACTGTCTCTGTGTGAGTGTGTGACTGTCTGTGTGTGACTGCCTGTGAGTGTGTGACTGTCTCTGTGTGACTGCCTGTGAGTGTGTGACTGTCTCTGTGTGAGTGTGTGACTGCCTGTGAGTGTGGGACTGTCTCTGTGTGAGTGTGTGACTGCTTGTGAGTGTGGGACTGCCTGTGAGTGTGGGACTGCCTGTGAGTGTGGGACTGTCTCTGTGTGAGTGTGTGACTGCCTGTGAGTGTGGGACTGTCTCTGTGTGAGGTGTGTGTGACTGCCTGTGAGTGTGTGACTGTCTCTGTGTGACTGCCTGTGAGTGTGTGACTGTCTCTGTGTGAGTGTGGGACTGCCTGTGAGTGTGGGACTGTCTCTGTGTGAGTGTGGGACTGCCTGTGAGTGTGTGACTGTCTGTGTCAGTGTGTGACTGCCTGTGAGTGTGTGACTGTCTCTGTGTGACTGCCTGTGAGTGTGTGACTGTGTGTGAGTGTGTGACTGCCTGTGAGTGTGTGACTGCCTGTGTGAGTGTGACTGTCTCTGTGTGACTGCCTGTGTGAGTGTGTGACTGTCTGTGTGTGACTGCCTGTGTGAGTGTGTGACTGTGTGAGTGTGTGACTGTCTGTGTGACTGCCTGTGTGAGTGTGTGACTGTCTGTCTGAGTGTGTGACTGTCTGTGTGTGACTGCCTGTGAGTGTGTGACTGTCTGTGTGTGACTGTCTGACTGAGTGTGTGACTGTGAGTGTGTGACTGTCTGCCTGTGTGTGGCTGTCTGCCTGTGTGTGAGTGTGTGGCTGTCTGCCTGTCTTTGTATGTGTGGGTGTTTGCCTCGGTGTCAATGACTGCCTGTGTGTGTGTGTGTGTGTGTGTGGCTGTCTGCCTGGGTGTCAGTGACTGTCTGCCTCTGTGTCTGTGTGCGCGCATCTGCTAGTGAGGGAGCCTGTGTGTGTGTGTGTGTGTGCCTGCTAGTGAGTTTGTGTGTGTGTGTGCCTGCTAGTGAGTGAGCTTGTATGTGTGTCAGTGAGCTTGTCTGTAGGGATCATGTGTGTGTGTGTTAGTGAGCTTGTCTGTAAGGAGCATGGGTGTGTCGGAGCCTGTCTGTGGTGAGCATGTGTGTACAGTGAGCTTGTCTGTAGTAAGCATGAGTGTGATCATGAGCTTGTCTGTAGTGACCATATGTGTGTCAGTGAGCTTGTCTGTAGTGAGCATGTGTGTGTCAGTGAGCTTGTCTGTAGTGAATCTGTGTGTTAGTGAGCTCTTCTGTAGGGAGCGTGTGTGTCAATGGGCTTGTCTGTAGGGAGAGTGTGTGCGCATCAGTGAGCTTGTCTGTAGTGAGCGTGTGTGTGTGACAGTGAGCTTGTCTATAGTAAGCTTGTGTGTGTGTGTATCAGAGTTTGTCTGTACTAAATTTGTGTGTGCGCCAGTAACCTTGTCTGTGTGTGTCATTGTCTGTCAATGAGCCTATTTGTGTGCATCAGTAAGATTGTCTGTCTGTGTGTGAGTATGCTTTACTGTATAATTGAATTACCCTAAAATAACTAATATTTTGAATTAGAAGAAGAAATGTATCAATAAAAAAAAAAAAAATATATATATATATATATATATATACTGTTGCATCACCAGGGCTCCAGTATCCAGTATATATATAGGCAATTGAAATAGTTGGCTGCTAACTATAATAGTAGTCTCGGATTTCCTTAAAAGTTTACTTTTATTGAAATATTTAAGAGAAGATCAACGTTTCAGTCCCTCTTGTGGACTTGCATCAGGATCATGACGAAAGTCCACAAGAGGGACTGAAACGTTGATCTTCTCTTAAATATTTCAATAAAAGTTAAATTTTCAGGAAATCCGAGAGTGCAGCCAACTATTTCAATTGCCTATATATATATATATACACCCTACATAGCACAATGACTTATGGGGCTGGCATAGATTTTTTTCCATGGCTGCTTCGTATCCCCAGTCCGGCCCTGCCCATGAGGCTTGTGTTCTCCCTTCCTGGCGTGATCAGTGAATAGTGACCACTGCTCAGAGGGTTCAGTAGGCAGATGGGCCTACATAGCTCAAATTATTCCGGTAAGCCACGTCAGCCATTCCCCTATCCCACCTAGGCTTGGTGGTGAAGGAAAGTGCTGGGATTATTTTCTTTAGTTGTCCCATACCCTGTGTATTGCCTCTCAAAGGCCTTCCATGCCCACTCAAATCACTTCTAGCTTGTGGGTCGTTATCCGGTGGTGTCCAGCCCTGCCATTTTCCAGGTCACTAAGTGTGTGTCCCTTATTGTCCGGGTGACCCTCTGGCCGCCCGGCCCCCCAGCCCCAGATCCACCGGGTGACGTCTGTGGGTGCGCTATCTCCTCTCTCCATACCCCCAGTCTTAACCCAAAGTTGGCGGTGTCTGCTGGTCTCTCCCCTCTCCATACCCCCAGGTACCGTGCCCTCCCAAAAACTTATGTGGGTCCCCAGGTGGTAAATGCCCTTTAGCACAGCCCTTGGTTTGATGATTTGCGGATTGTGCCCCCTAGAGTACCTGGCTAATGTCCTGCTGGCATCCGCTCTTCTTCTCTCGGGGATTCCGAGAGCTGTCAGGGCTGTGAGATTGCCGCTGGGTCCCCTCGTCTGCATCATGGTGCGTGCTGTAGACAGGTTCTCTGGTTCTCCAGACTCAATTCTCCATGGGTTGCGGTGGGAGTTGCAGCTGGTCCAGGAATGCCGGCACGCCCTCGGGCCATCTGATGGTGATCCACTGACTCTGGTGTCAGGCAGATAAGGATAATGGAAATCCCCACCTTTAGGGTATGCGTCACTCTTGCAGTAGTGATGTCAATGGTCGGAGTGCTCTGCGGGCCTGCAGGGTGAGCTGCGAGAGATCGTTGAGTAATGCAATTTGTGTTCCCTGGACCTCCCAAGTCCTGTTGCTTCTGGCTGCGTGCATGATGCTCTTTTTGATGCGGAGGGAGCTGAGACAGCATACTGTGACAGATTCCCTGTCCCTGGATTATTGTTGTACATTTAACTGGTCCGGTATACGAACATCACTGAACAGATTGAACAATTTGGTTTGTATACCGAACTATATAACAAATGGATTGACCACCCAGAACAGTCGTGTGCCGCATATTAACCTGCCTCTTTTCACACTTTTGCAAACCACAATTACCGTCCATTCTTGGTCTAGAAGCTCGGTGTGTCTGTACGAATTTGAAATTGGCTGTGGCTTCATTTCACAGAATGTTGCTGAATAGGTCTGTGAGTAACCTCTCCACGTCTTCCTCCCCCTCAGGTTCCTGCACACCTGGCACCCTAATGTTGCTTCTACGTCTGCGTTTTTCCAGATCTTCTACCTGCCGTTGGATTTCCAGTAGCATGGCTTCCTGCCTTGTTACTGCATGATTTGTGCTCTTTGCTCTGTCCATCATGTTTTGCGTGTTGGTCTCTAGTGCCTGCAGCCTAGTTCCCTGGGTGGTCACTTCAGTGTGCAGGTCGGAGAGGACTGCCCACATTGTCTCCGTCAGAGCCGCTGTGAGCATTTGTAGGTCCTGCCTGGTCACAATGGAGGATGCCAGCGTTTTGACCTCCATGCTGACGAGAGACTCCCCAAGGAAGACCAGCGATTGCAGAAGCGACTAGCCCTGCGGATGTCCTTCCAGGGAGAGCAGCCCCTGAATGAATGAGTGAAAGAATTGGAGCTCCGGGTATGGCAGGAGATGTGGCTGGAAGATGCCTACCAGGCGCTCTGGTGGTATGGGGCACAGTACCTGCCCTGGACAGCCGAGCATGACAGGCCAGAGGGAGAGGAGTTTGATGGTCCTGGCTTGTTATGGGAGTCTTTTTCAGAGCCTGAGTTTTGGAGCCCTACACAAGCCCGGTTCAGTGATCTATTGGAGTGGAG